AATTAATAAAGTTCACTTTAAACATAAGCTTAAGGGACTTCCCTGGTGGTCCAGTGATTAAGATTCCATCTACTGCAGGGCGTGTGGGTTTGATCCCAGATTGGGGTACTGAGATCCCACATGCTCTGAGGTGTGGCCAACAAATAAAAATAAACTTCAGTTCGCTGACTGATACCTGTAACCACTAATCTGATGACAAAAACAATCTTCTACAATTGGTCCTGACCAGAGGTATACTTCCTGTATATCCTGTAAATTACTAAATAAATTTACTATTTACTAAACAATTTTTACTAAAATTTACTAAATAAAAAATCTCCCTGAATTTTAAGGTCTGGCAAACAGAGACTTTACCAAAATCTCTGAGTCTTTTTTGTAAATCATCCTTAGTTTTAATCTGTTCCATTCTTTTGGAATGGTCGTCTGATTTTACTGATCTTTGCCGATGGTATAAGGTCATCAGTTCAGATTCCCCCTTCCTCCATATTATGTATTATGATACATAAATAGCTTGACACTTGCTATCCTGTCATGGTGGCTTAATCGCTAAGTCGTGTCTGACTCTTGGGACCCATGGACTATAGCCCGCCAGGCTCCTCTGTCCATGGAATTTTTCCAGGCAAGAATACTGGAGTGGTTTATCATTTCCTTCTCCAGGGGATCTTCTCCACCCAGGGATCGAACCTGGGTCTCCTGAACTACAGAGAGATTCTTTACCGACTGTGCTGCCAGGGAAGCTCCTGTCATGGTTCAAACTTCAAGGCATAATTACTTCCCAGGCAGGTTAACTAACACCTGGGTGTCTGACAGTGGAATAGGGTTCTAAGAAAATGAAACTACAAGCCATGTGGTTCTTGGTCCCTAGTCACACCTGTAAAATTAGCCGTCAGCAAAGTGGAAAACAGGATGTATTACATAAACTGTCTTTTTTCTTATTCCAGATAAGTCCACTCATAAGATCTAACACTTTCAAAGGGGAAAGGAAATGAACACGTCTTAGACATCTGATCCTGGCCAAAACTTTCCTGGATCTACACTCATTTAATTCAACAAAACAAAAACAATAACAACTCTGTTGAGTAGTAATTACTCTCCTTATACATATTAAGAAATCTGTCCAAAGTAACTCTGCCAGTAAGTACATAAGCCAGGGTTTGAACCAAGGAGGCTCAGATTTTACAAAGTCAGTATTTTTAGTGCTCACAGGATCTTAAGGCTAAAGCACTGAGTAGTACCATGTAGAGCATTCAGTACAATTCCTCTATTACAGATAAGGAAACTGAGGCCCCAAAAGATTGAGACTTGCCCAAGGACACACTCTTGTGGTGAGGTTAGGATCTGAATTCACATCTCCTGATTTCTAGCACAGTTCTGTGCTTAATTATTTGTGTGTGTGTGTGTGTATGTTGAGGGGCAGTTTGAGTGTCACTCTTGAAATAATTTATATGTAATTTAGAACATCCCAAACGTCTCCAAATAAAATACATATGTGTGGCAGGTTAGGGATGTGTATTTTTAGTGAACAAATACAGTATAAAAGCTCAATAGGCATTTGTAAATTATTAATGTTGTAGTCTGTTGTCAATATATTTATTTATTCAGTGAATAACTCTATTATGTACTGGCTGCTATGCTTGGCAATGAGAACTTAACTATATAAGATAAAAACCCCTAGTGTTCTCATGAAATTTACATCTTGGTGGAAGATACAGACAAATAAATAGGCAATCGCCAATACACTGAGTCAATGCTCTGTCAGTAGGGGCACAAGATGTTATGGGAACAGGAAGCAAGGGCACCTGACCCAGACTAGACTTTTCAAAGGAACTGATATGAAAAATGAGTAGGAGTCAGCCAGTTAAACAAGGGGTATGGAGTGTGCAAATGTCTCATGAAAAGCAAACAGCACTGGCACATGAAGCAGGAAAAGGCCAAGAGAGCTGTAGGAAGAAAAAGGAGAGATGAACTTAGAAGAAAAGAAACAAATCACACAGGTCTTAGAAAGCAAGGGCTTTACAATCGTGTCTATTAGAATTACCTGGGGAACTTAAAACAGATGTCTGGGCTCCATCTCAGGCCAATTAAACCAGAATCTCCAGGAATGAGACTCTGGCACTGATATTTTTAAAAAGCTAACTAGATGATTCTAGTATGTGGCCAGGATCAAAAACCACTGTTTAAGTTATAGGGGAATTAAACACATCCATTTATTACTACAAATAAGGGAAAAGGTGATCTATGGGCTCTAGTTTCTTTATCCATAAAAAAGCAGGCTGGAAAAAAAAAAAGCAGGCTGGAGCAAGTTAGAGGTAACATAATAAAATGAAAGGAGTCACAAAGCATTCATTTTGTCAATGAGTCTGTCACCTGATACTTGCCTGACCTTAAATTAAAATGTCATTTCTCAGAGACAGTAATACTGCCTTCTCTTCAGGATTGTTTTGTAGCTCAAGACAAACATACTTAAAAAAAAAACAGCTCAATAACTATACTAATATAAACCTTGATTTCCCAAGATTTATGCTTCTAAACTTGCACAAATTTAAATATCATAAATATTTTCAGAGATAAAATCTTTTATGATGCTTAAGAAACACATTTCATTTACAGAATCACAACTCCCTTGAAATTCAAGATATTTAAATAATAAAATAGAGAAGTGATCCTTTTAATGCTATTTTTGTTGCTAAAGAGATCAAACGGGATTAAGTTAGCCCTTTTCAAATAAACAGATCAACAGAGCAAATGCCTTTTAAATGGTAATAGTAAATGTTAAAAATTCTTAATTCAATAAAGGAAACAAGTGAACTCTTTTAGGAAATGTATGACCTATCTTATCATTTAAGTATTTTACTTGTAAGTTTACCTTTTTTTTTAAAGGCAATACTTATTTGGGATGGAGAGGATCTTATCCTGACAGGAAGGAAGCTCTGCTTTAAGAAGGGTTGTTCCATCCAAAGCCAGGCAAAGCTATTGCTCTTTTACAGTCCTCCTTTCACATATATCTAGCCCATGAGAAGATACACTTTCACGCAGTAATTTTTGCGTTTACAGCATTTGTATTTAGTGACATCTCCTTAATGCTATATCTAATTTACTTAAAATTGAGGAAAAAAAAAAAACTTTAGACATATAAAAACACTGTTCTGCATTTATATGTGGTTCATATTTAATTCTTGAACTAAAACTGATAGGAATGTCTTTCAAACTTTATATTCATAAAGTCAATGGTAAAATATTAAGTTAATATTCATTCATTTTCTTTTTATTTCCCCCATGATGCTATGACTGTTACCATGTGCTATCACTTCTTTCAATCATCTATTTCGTGATTTTAACAGGAAAGCACTCTATTTTACAATGATGGAAAAACCTGTAAGAAACTTTTGAAAAAAGTTACGGATGAAATTTAATTTTATCCAAAAAGGTGAGATGAGAAAACTCAGAAAGCCAAACAAAATACCCCTCCTCCCCCCTACACACCCCCACTGGGCCCTCTTCAGATAATTTTGGCTGATGACACTGCAGAACAGTTAATCTGATAATTAAAATTTTCCAGAACATGTGATGTTTAGATAGAGATCTATGCTGTCAACCAGAATTCAATGATTCAGTCTTAAAAAATGTTAAAACTTGAATACAGACATATTAACAAATTTTTACACTACAGTTGCTTCTAGGATCCATTAATAAGGACGTGCTGTGATTTACAGAAATTAAATTAGTAACGTGGTATCTTAAGCATTTTGTAGGTATTTCCTTAACAACACGCAATCCAGTACATAAACAAATTTTGTACAGTGCAATGTAAGCAAATACCCAGAGAACCCAGCTTCTGAGCAGAAAAACATGCGACCGCTATTGCCCACAGTGGTTCAAATGTGGCCATAGTAATTACCCGATGACTTGAGTTAACAGAAGTTTACCTACCCAAGTTTTCCAAGGGGTTCTCCCAGGCCTCACAAACTACGATCAAAACATCATCTCGCAAACCCATGTCCTGCATGTGCCCAAAGGCGCAGTGCTGGAATGAGGAAGCGTCACCAAACGGAATCACAACTCTACTTCATTAAAGAATATGCAGGCTCTTTTCACAGAAGCCCCTCTTACTGCGCTCCCCTTACTCTTTATGACTACGTAAACAGCTTCCCAATTACTGTCAGCCAAAACAGCTTTCGATTTCTAAGTCTGGTAACTAGCCACCATCACCACTATTCCTTTAGCATCCTAAAATAAACCCCTCAAGCCGCGATCAAAACACACTGGCTGAACGTCTGGTGTTTACACAGTCCAATTCTGGGCGCTACCCTACCTTTCCGAGCCACTTAGGAGCTATGAAGCAGGCATCACATATTAGACTTACTAAAGACACAATTGCGAGACAATGTCTCAGGTCTATGAATGAAAGATCCAATACGTTTGATTGTCTCGGTTAAAAGGAAAAAAACAACTTCGAGAGGAAGGGTGGGAGAGGAACCGCGGTAGCCTTCCAAGCCCCAGCCGGGCGATTTAAACCCAGTATGAGGCAAATCGCAGGGTCGCCGGGCTGGCGCGGTCGGAGTCCTCGGGCGTGACAGCCCCTCAGCAAGAGCTCGCGGTTTGGCACCCGCGATCGCTCACGCCGCGGTGCTCGCGGGTCGGGTGGATGTGCAAGGGCGCGGGGGACCGAGCCACCGCAGCCGGGGCGGCGGCCCTGGGCGCACTTCCTCAGTCTCTAGCCGCCCCATCCCCAAAAATGGGAGAGGAAGGAAACGAGGAACGAGGCGGCGGTCAGAGGGAGAAAAGAGGGAGCGGCGAGCCCTCGCCTCTGCATCTGGGTGAGGCCAGCGGCAGGCGGAGGAGAGCGGGGATCGCAGGCGAACTCTGCTGCGGGCCGAAGCTGGGAGAGACGACCGGCGGGCAGCCCCCGCCCAAGACGGCGGGCGCGCCCGAGAGTCCCCGGCACCCACCCGGCCCCATCCCGACCGCTCCCGCTCCCGGCCTGTCCGCGTTCTACTCACGCTCGGGGCTCCTCGAGGCTCCGCGGCTCTAACCGCATCGGGTCCCAGCCCCGCGGGCGGCGGCGGCGGCGGCGCCGAGGGAGAGGAGAGCGGGCGGCACAGCCCCCGCCTCCCGGCCCCTCTCCCCCGCCGCTCCGGAGCTGCCGGGCCGGGCCCGAGCCCTGCCTAGCCGGCGGCCCCAGCCCCAGCGGCCGCGGCGGCAGCAGCCCGAGACCTCAGCGGCCGCAGCGGCGGCACCGGAACTGCCGCTTTCTCCTTCTCGCTGCCTCTCCTAGCTAGCCCCCGCCACACGCCCCCGCCCCCGTCTCCTTTCTCTGTCACCCCTGTTTTTTTTTTTTTTCTTTTGTTTCCAGAATAAACTTTATTGGTCTCTTTTTCCGCTCACATCGTGTAAACAAACAACGAACTCTACCCCACCCCCTCGACTCCCCCCTCCTCGGGCAGAGGAGGGTAAGAGCTGAGGAGGGGCCGAGCCTACTATGCCCCGGAAGCAGAGGGACAAACGAGAGGAAGTGAAACTGCGGAGACCAGGAGGGGGAAGTGGGCAAATCGGGTGACAGTGTGCCAGTGCGCCTGCGCCTTGGTTTTGTGCCCGAAGTTTGAGTGGCTTTGTGGCTCATTTTCCTGCTGCGCTGGTATTTAATGCTGTTGTCTTTTGCAGTGGTGAGGCTGTTTTGTCATCCTGTGGAGGCATAGGTGTCGTACGAGCAGCAGGGATGCGCCTATGTGTTTCTACGAGCTGTAGGGCTGGGTTGAGATATAGAAAGGCAAATCGGGAGCTAGCGGGTCCATTCACTTTTACGCCCATAGAGGAAATAAGATTTACTCTCGTATAGGGGCGAGGGGAGGGGATGTAGTGGCTAACCGCCTCTGTCAGTGGCTAACCAGAAATGGATATCGATACTAGAAAGAAGGCCTTTTACAAAACGTTGCTTCGCGTCCTTTTGCCAACGTAAGGTTAAGTTGTAGCCCATCCCGAAAGAGGAATGCACTGCCACAGCCCTCTGCAATACTTTGACTCACTCAGGGAGACCTTTTGCAATGTCCTTTTTTTCAGATCTGAATCAGCTTGTAGGATTCCATTCTGACTATTCAGAACACGTGCTTTTTTCGCGTAGTGCCCACGGAGACTTTAGAAAAACCATTTTGGTTCTAGAGTAGATGCAGGGTGGTGGTTTGATACTGCGTACCACAGAAGCTTCTTTTTGCTGGAGAGTAATAGGATCTGTTATGTTTTGAGATCACTACTGATAAGGGTCAGGTTTTCGGCGTGTTTCTCCCCCTAGTGGCCTTTCATTGTATTAAAAAGACGTAGGAACAGTGATTAGCAGAAATCTGCAATACAAGTCCTCAATGTAGGGCCCTCTCTTGCATTTTAAGGAGTAGAGGACTTGAAAGTGACCCGCCCTGGAGATGTTACAGTTCAGCTCGTCATTCAGTGCTGAAAGCTGACCGATAACCAGTTTTGCCCAAACACCACACATCCTTAACCAATCCTAAAAAAGAACCATTCCTTTATGTGGTCATAGTTTCATTTGACTGTGTTTCTGTATTTCCTGTGCTTTCTCTCTTTTCTTAAGCTCTGGTTTTCATCTCATATTTCAAGGGTCTAAGTTTCTAAATATTTTTCTTGAACCAGTGTTTTTCAGCACTTTTCAGAACACTGTGTTACTCAAGAGAAAGGAATTTAAACAAACAAAAAAAAGCAATGATATTGAATTACTGGTCAAAGGAAGCCTTAAGGCAGCATTTCCCAAATTTGTGTTCCCAGGCCCAGAGTTTAGTAAGATCTTAATAGGTGGTCCTTAGTGGGGATAAATTATGGTAAATACATGCTTTTTCTAAAATTTATTTTAATAGATGGTACATGCATTATGTGATTTTTGTTATGTGATAATCTGCCTTTTGGGCTTCCCTGATACCTCAGTTGGTAAAGAATCCGCCTGCAATGCAGGAGACATTGGTTAGATTCCTTGGTCAAGAAAATCCACTTGAGAAGGGATAGGCTACCCACTCCAGTATTCTTGGGCTTCCCTGTGGCTCAAGTGGTGAAGTCTACTTGCAATGCAGGAAACCTGGTTTCGATCCCTGGGTTAGGAAGATCCCCTGGAGACCGGAAAGGCTACCCTTTCCAGTATTCTGGCCTGGAGAATTCCATGGACTGTATAGTGCATGGGGTCACAAGGAGTCTGACACGACTGAGCGACTTTCACTTTCTTCAGCTTTTCAATCTGCCTTTAAGAAATCACGTGCCACAACATGTGGCATGCTTCCCCAGGTGGCGCTAGTGGTAAAGAACCTGCCTGCCAGTGCAGGAAACTTAAGAGACTCAGGTTCCATCCCTGAGTAGGGGAGATCCCCTGGAGGAAGACATGGCAATCCAGTCCAGTATTCTTGCCTGAAGAATCACATCGCAGAGGAGCCTGGTGGACTGCAGTCCATGGGGTCGCAAAGAGTCAGACACAACTAAAGCAACTTAGAACGCACGCAGGTCACAACAGAAAATGTCATACCTCGTATTTGTATGATTACTCAATGGTACAGGATTAACATTTACTGCTGAATTGACAATTGCTGTATTTGGTTTATATGGTGACCATTGATATGTTGTCTGCTTTATCTTGCTTCTGAAGGTATCTGCACTGTTCTTCAGTGTTTATGTTAGGCCTCTATATGATGAAATGTGTTGCTTAAGGTCCTGAGACTGAAAGAAGAATGTTTTACAGGAAAAATTGAAATTGTGATACTCAGGCTGTAAGACAAACAAAAAATGGAATACTTTAGAATTAAAGAGCTGTTTTCTAAAGTCAAGAGGTAGAATGTCCACGGTGACACAGTTGTTCCATTCTAACACATTGGAGGTATTTAATAATAGTTACTTGCCTTTTGGATTATTTCTATTGAAAATAAAGATAACTGATACTCAAATGTGTATTGTGCACTGAAACATACTCTGTAACAAACACTGAAATTACAACTAAGCTTTGAAGTCATTTGGAAACAAGAGTCAACTTGATTATGAAGCAGTATACTCTGGATTTATAAAATTGCCAAGTCAAACAATAAAAACACACCAAAGGAAGACAAAAATGAACTGCCATGTAGCACTTACTAGTTTGGTTATGACCAGTAAACATCCTTTTAAGATTTCAGTTCTTTTCTATTTGTTAAGGTTTATTTTGCCTGAGTATCTTAGTAAATGTCCTTTTGTTGCTTACTCACTAAGTAGTGTCTGACTCTTTGCGACTCCATGGACTGCAGTACGTCAGCCTTCCCTGTCTTTAACTATCTGGGAATTTGCTCAAATTCATGTCCATTGAGTCAGCGATACTATCCAGCCATCTCATCCTCCATTGCCCCCTTCTCCTCCTGCCCTCAATCTTTCCCAGCATCAGGGTCTTTTTCAATGAGGCAGTTCTTTGCACCAGGTCGCCAAAGTATTGGAGCTTCAACTTCAGCATCTGTCCTTCCAGTGAATATTAAGGGTTTGATTTCATTTAGGATTGACTGGTTTGATCTCCTTGCTGTCCAAGGGATTCTCAAGAGTCTTCTCCAGCACTGTAGTTCAAAGGCATCAATTCTTTAGCCACCTTCTTTATGGTACAATTCTCAAATCTGTACATGACTACTGGAAAAACCATAGTTTTGACTATATGGACTTTGTTGGCAAAGTGATGTCTGTGTTTTTTTTTTTTTCCATTTATTTTTATTAGTTGGAGGCTAATTACTTTACATCATTGTAGTGGGTTTTGTCATACATTGACATGAATCAGCCATGGATTTACATGTATTCCCCANGGGTTTCCTGGTGATTGGAAACTTCCTCTATTAAGACTCCCTTCCCGGGACGGGTCTCCGTCCGTAGCTCTTTTGACTCCCTTATTATCGTTTATATTTTGTCCTACCTCCCTTCGAAGACAATGGGCTGCTTTTCTGGGCGCCTGATGTCCTCTGCTAGCGATCAGAAGTTTTGTGAAATTTGCTCAGCATTCAAATGTTCTTTCGATGAATTTGTAGGAGAGAAAGTGGTCTCTCCATCCTATTCCTCCGCCATCTTGTCTGTGTTTTTTAATATGTCTAGGTTTGTCATAGCTTTTCATTCAAGAAGCAAGTATCTTTTAATTTCATGCCTGCAGGCACCATCCACAGTGATTTTGGAGCCCAAGAAAATAAAGTCTGCCACTGTTTCCATTTTTCCCCCATCAATTTACCATGAAGTGTTGGGACCAGATGCCATGATCTTAGTTCTTTTGAATGTTTTTAAGCCAGCTTTTTTGCTTTCCTCTTTCAGTTTCATCAGGAGGCTCTTCAGTTCCTCTTCTCTTTCTGCCATTATGGTGGTGTCGTTTGCATATCTGAGGCTGCTGATATTTCCCCTGGCAGTCTTGATTCCTGCCTGTGATTCATCCAGCCTGGCATTTCACATGATGTACTCTACATCTAAGTTAAATAAGAAGGGTGACAATGTACAGTCTTGACATACTTCTTTCCCAATTTTGTACCAGTCAGTTATTCCATGTCTGGTTCTAACTGTTGTTTCTTGATCTGCACACAAGTTTGAACCACTATGATAGAACATTTTATGTGTGTTATTGGGTACAATGTGCTATGTCAGTCATGGCAAGTTGGTTGATAATGTTAGGTCTTCTATATCCTTACTGGATTTCTGCAGTAGTTCTATCAGTTTCTGGGAGAAGAGCATTGATGTCTTCGGCTATAATTGTGGCTTTGTCTATTTCTCCTTTCGCTTCTGTGTATTTTTGCTTTACATATCTTAAAGCTCTGTTGTTGGCTGTACACACATTTGGACTTATGTGTTTTTGATGAATTGACTCTTTTTATCATTATGTACTATCTTAACCCCTTGTAATATCCCTGATCTGAGGTCTATTTTTTCTAATATTAATGTAATCACTCCACATTCTTTGGTTAGTATTTGGCATGATATATATTTCCTATCTTTTATTTATCTATGTTGTTATATTTAAAATGAATTACTTGTAGACAACACATCAGTCTCTTTTTAATCCAGTCTGACAATCACTGTAATTTCTGTATTTAGAGTAT